TAGAGAGAGAGGGAGAGAGAGCGAGCACAGGCAGACAGAATGGCAGGCAGAGGCAGAGGGAGAAGCAGGTTCCCTGATGAGCAAGGAGCCCGATGTGGGACTCGATCCCAGGACGCTGGGATCATGACCTGAGCCGAAGGCAGCTGCTCAACCAACTGAGCCACCCAGGCGTCCCTGTCTCTTTATTTTTGAGTTTGAAGAATTATTTTATATTCTGAATACTAAACCCTATCGAATATGACTTGAAAATTTTCTCCAACTCAGTGTTGTCTTTTCACCTGATGATGAAGGTCATTTTATCTACTTTTTTCTTTTATTTATTTATGATTTTGGTGTAACATCTAAGAAACCTTTGCCATAATCAAGGTCATGAGAGATTACTCTTTTGTTTTCTCTTTGAATTATGTAGCTTTAGCTGTTAATTCAAGTCTTTCATCATATTTCAGTTAATTTTCATATAGGGTATGAGGTAGGATTTAATTTAATTTATCAATTTATTAATTTAATTAATTAATTAAGTTAATTAATTAATTTAATTAATTAATTAAGTTAATTAATTAATTTAATTAATTAATTAAAAGGAGCCCGATGTGGGACTCGATCCCAGGACGCTGGGATCATGACCTGAGCCGAAGGCAGCTGCTCAACCAACTGAGCCACCCAGGCGTCCCTGTCTCTTTATTTTTGAGTTTGAAGAATTATTTTATATTCTGAATACTAAACCCTATCGAATATGACTTGAAAATTTTCTCCAACTCAGTGTTGTCTTTTCACCTGATGATGAAGGTCATTTTATCTACTTTTTTCTTTTATTTATTTATGATTTTGGTGTAACATCTAAGAAACCTTTGCCATAATCAAGGTCATGAGAGATTACTCTTTTGTTTTCTCTTTGAATTATGTAGCTTTAGCTGTTAATTCAAGTCTTTCATCATATTTCAGTTAATTTTCATATAGGGTATGAGGTAGGATTTAATTTAATTTATCAATTTATTAATTTAATTAATTAATTAAGTTAATTAATTAATTTAATTAATTAATTAAGTTAATTAATTAATTTAATTAATTAATTAATTTAAATTTTTTGTTTCAAGTTTTTACTTATATTCTAGTTAGTTAACATAGAGCATAATATTAGTTTCAGGAGTAGATTTTAGTGATTCATCACTTACATATAAAATCCAGTATCCCCCTTAATACCTATCATCCATCAAGCATATCCCTACCCCCACTTTCACTCCAGCAACTCTCAGTTTATTTTCTATAGTTAAAAATCTCTTATGGTTTGCTTCCCTTTCATTTTTTTCCCCTTCCCATATGTTCATCTGTTTTGTTTCTTAAATTCCACATATGAGTGAAATCATATGGTTTTTGTCTTTTTCTGACTTCTATCACTTAGCATAATATACTCTTGCTCCAACCACATTGATGCAAATGGCAAGATTTCTTTCCTTTTTTATGGCTGAGTAATATTCCAGTGTGTGTGTGTGTGTGTGTGTGTGTGTGTGTGTGTGTGTGTGTACGTACACACACACACATACATACATACATACATACTACATTTTCTTTGTTCATTCATCAGTGAATGGACATTTGGGCTCTTTCCATAATTTGGCCATTGTTGGTAATGTTGGTATAATCAGTATTTTTGTATCCTTTGGGTAAATAGTGCAATTGCTGGGTCTTAGGATAGTTCTATTTTTAACTTTTTGAAGACTTTCCACACTGTTTTCCACAGTGGCTGCACCAGTTCTCATTCCCACCAACAGTGTAAGAGCAATCCCCTATTGTTGCATCCTCACCAATATCTGATGTTTCCTGTGTTAATTTTAGCCATCTGAAAGTTGTGAGGTGGTACCTCATTGTTGTTTTGCTTTGCATTTCCTTGATGAGAAGTGAGGTTGAACATCTTTTCATGTGTCTGTTAGCCATCTGGATGTTGTCTTCTGTCCATTTCTTAACTGGATCATTAGTTTTTTTGGGTATTGAGTGCGGTAAATTCTTTACAGATTTGGGGGAGGGTCTAGCTTTATTCTTTTGTATGTGGATATCCAGTTGTCCTAACATTTGTTGATGAGATTATCCTTTCTCCCATTAAATGGTCCTGGCAGTCTTATAAAAAAATCAGACATAGATGCATGATTTTTTTTCTAGAATCCCAATTCTATTTCATTAAATTATATCTCTAATCTTATGACCACAGAGTCTTGATCACTGTAGCTATGGAGGAAATTTTACAATTGGGAAGTGAGTCCTTCAACTTTGTTCTTTTTCAAGATTATTTTGACTATTTGGGGTTACTCACAATTTCATCAATTTTAGGATAACCCCATTTGGTTTTTTGATAAGGACATTTGTTTTTTTGATAAGGACAGTAGTGAATCTCTACATCACTTTGGATATTGCCATCTTAACAATATTAAGTGTTACATTCATAAACATGGGATATAATTCCATTTATTTTTGTGTTTTAAATTTCTTTCAGCCATTTTTTATAGTTTCTAGTGTATAAACTCTTCATCTCCTTGAGTAAATTTGTTTCTAAGTATTTTATGTTACTTTTTGATGCTCTTATAAATAGAATTGCTTTCTTAATTTCCTTTGTGAATTGTTCATTGTTAGTATATAATAACACACTAATACATATTTAAGATTATGATATTGGCAAATAGAGCTAATGTTCTTTCTTTCCACAACAGATGCTTTTTATTGTTCTTGTCTCACTCTTCTGGATAGAAATTCCAATACAATAAGAAATAGAAGTAGCAAAAGCCAGGATTATTGTCTTGTCCCTGATCTCAGAGGAAAAGCTTTCAGCTTTTTACCATCAAATATGGTGTTATCTATGGGTTTTGCGAAATGCCTTTTACCATATTAAGGAAGTTTCACTCTAGGTTAAGGAAGTTCTTCAGTTATCTGAATGTTGCTGCTGTGGTGGTGTTAAATCATAAAAGGGGCATCTGTCCAACGCTTTTTCTGCAAGAGTTTACCATGTTTTTCCTCCTTTCTATAGATGTATTATGTTGATTTGTATATGCTGAAACACTTCTTGTGTTTCTAGGAAAAATCTCACTTAATCATGGTTTTAAATTATCACAATAATATGCTACTGGATTCCATTTGCTAGTATTTCATTGAATACCCTTGCATCTATATTCATAAGGAATATTTTTGCATAGTTTCTTGTGATGTCTTTATCTGGTTTTGGTGTTAGGGTAATGCTGGCTCCATAGAATAAGTTAAAATGTGTTCCTCTCTATTTTTTGGAAGTGTCTGAGAAGCACTTGGTGTCAATTCCTTAAATGATTGGTAAAATTCATCATAAAGCCATGTGATCCTGGCCTTTTCTTCGATGGGAGGTTTTGATTACTGGTTCAATCTCTTGTTATAAAGTTGTTCATATTATCTATTTCTTTTTGAGTCAGTTTTGGTAGTTCGTTTCTCAGAATTTATCCATTTCATCTAGGTTATTTACTTTGTTGGCATACAGTTGTTCATAATATTCTTTATAACCCTTTTTTACTTAAGTAAGGTCGAAAGTATCTTTTAATTCTGATTTTA